GATCGGGACCGGGCGGCGGCGGCTGCGGCTGTGGTGACGGCAGCGGGACCGGGATGGAAGGTTAAGTCCTGAACAGCGGCAGCTGCCGCAGCCGCCGGAGGGAGACCGGGCTGCTGCTTCCCGGCCCCCTGCCTTGGCCGCCGAGCGCCGGGCAGCCGACTGATTCGCTCTCTCTCTTTGGCGTTTGAAGGGAGCGCTGTGACTGTCCTTGAGCGCGGAGGGGCGAGCTCACCGGCGGAGCGACCCAGCAAGAGGAGGCGCAGGAGCGGCGGCGCCCGAGCACCCGAGGGGGTCCGAGTCCAGGCAGCCGGCCAGACACGCGCCACAAAGGGAGCGCCTCCGCCACCAGGCACGCCGCCTCCCTCCCCAATGTCCTCGGCCATCGAAAGGAAGAGCTTAGACCCGTCTGAGTAAGTGTGGAGCTTCTGTCCCCGCGCCCACCTCCCACCGGGTCCCAGACTAGGAGCGAGGGGCTGGCTTCAGGTACGCGCCCTCAGCGTGCCCTTGGTTCCTTGGTGTCGCAGGGGCTCCCCCTGCCTCTCGGGTGACTCTGGTGACACCGAGAACACCGAGAGGGACTGGGCGGCGGAAGCAGTAACAGGGGTCGTCCCGGGGACCCTGCGGGCCGCTCCGAGCTATCTGAAAAGCTCCCTAAACCTTCCCCCCGGCCAGAAAGTTTGTCCAAGGTACCTGGAGTTCCCAGATGCGGTGCAGGGAGAATGGGTAGAGGGACTCCGCCCCCTCCCCTCTCGCTCCACCGGGTTCCCTTTCTCTTTGTCCATTTGGCCCTGAAAAGGGGAGACACTTCAACAGAACGTTTCTGGGGTCCCAGACGGTCTCCGACCCAGCCCCAGATAGAGCAGCTGCGGGCATTGATGAGGTTCGCCTGTCCACCTGGGAACTGGTTCAGTGCTCCAGAGACTTCTAGAATAGCTAATTCGGAGTTCCTCTGGGTACATATTCGCCCCTCCCCCGAGTCTTCTTGTGTGGGCATTCGAACCTCGAAAGTTAGTGCACCGGTTGTTTGTTTATTTTATTTTTTTTATTTAGGTATATTTTTCTGGGAAGCAGAATCCCACCGAACTCTCAGAAGGGCTTGGGGTCAGCGAACCGGAGCTGTAATGAGCTTGTAGTGTCTGTGCTCTAAGCTTTACGCTGGTTTGCAAAGAACAACTCCCCCCCCCCCCATTCCTAGCCCCATACCCCAGCCTATTCTCTAGCTTTAACAAGGGGAGCCAGGAATGCGTAAGGTATCGGTTTTCTGCGTCCACGCAAATGCCCTTTTAAGAATCGTTAGCTGTCTGGTTTTGAGTTGTATTCCTTTGAAGTCCCCATCTAATCCTTTGAAGGGATTTGTTAACACAAGACCAAAGGAGCAGGCTAATGACTTGTCCATTTGTGCTTTTAAGGAGCATTTGTTTTAGTGGCTTTTTTTCCCTTTTCCTGCTTTGAAAGAATTGTGCTTTCCTGCTGAAGTTCCCCTACTCACCTCCCCCCTTCAATTTCAGCCTTCTGGGGTGTTTATTTACCTGGGTTTTACCCTCTGTCAGCAGCATAAAAACCCAGCGTGTTCTCATAAAACACAGGAAGTCCCACGATCCAGAGAGAATATAAACATCACTCTTCGGTCTTGAAGGTTAAGACACCAGCTCAGAAAGGAGCTAGGTTTGTTGACATAAAGACCAGCTTCCTAAAAATCTCAGGAGAAAAACAACAAGCCTTTAAAAAACAAGTTGGTGTCTACAGTTTATTCCCTTTTAAAAAGAAACTTAGCATTACATCTGAGCTCTGAGTTTTCAGAGACTGGACAAGACATAACAATCCAGGTAAGGGAGTCAGTCAGTCAAACTGGTATTTACTGCTTGCCTGGCAGCACAGCCTAGCCACTCATCCTTTATTAGAAGTTGAACCTACAGAATTCAAAATTCGGCTCCTTAAAAAAAGGATTTATTGTTAATTATGTGTATGTATGTGCACCTAAATGCAGGTGCCCCCACCCCCAGGTCAGAGGTGTTGGATCCCCTAGAGCTGGAGTTACAGGTGGTTGTAAGCCACCCATTTTGGGTGCAGAGAGACTCTCACTGGGGTCCTCCGGAAGAGCAAAAACCACCCATGTGAATGAGCCACCTCTGCAGCCTGAGGGTTGGGTTCTGTTAAGGAAGTTTTGTCTTTCCAAAGTTTGTGCATTTTTACGCCTCTGAGACTAGAAAACAGGAAAGTATCTCGAGGCTGTGATAGTGAGCACCTAGTCCAAGGGATCCACTAATAGTGCCCCAATGCGTGCCAGTAAAGGAAGGCTATAACCAAAGACGGGCAAGCCGGGTGGGGAATGTCTACAGAACACTTCCCCTCTTTCTGGGAAATTGTCGAGAAATTTCATCAGAAATCAAAGCTACAGAGGTACTCCGATGTTGTATTCAGGATTGGCTGGTGGGAGAAAGTCAAATATTAACTTAAGGTGAATCTCATTCAGCCTTTGGCTTGAATTGTTCGCCAGAGATAATGTCAGGTCATCATTAGTTACAGAAAGACAGATGGAGTCAGGATCTTGCCCTGTCCTTATCTGCTCTCAGACCCTCACACCTCTTTCTGTAACAACTCACTCACCTTCCAGCTGCTGCATCATGTGCTTGCTCAAAGCCAGCCTGGGTCTTTACAATGCTTTCTCCAAATACAGATTGGCCCTTGCCTAGACACATGCAAAGGTAGCATGTACACAGAGAGCCAGAATTCATGAACATAGATTTCCTCTACCATGCGACTGGGGAGCCTTCCTGCCTCCCTGTGGGTCATTTTAATTCTGGGGCGGGGAGGGGGTTGTTCCAGATAAATGCAAACACTTCCCTTTCAAAGGTGGTTGGTAATAACATTAGCATCTAGCATGATGGGGGTTCTGTGGGTGTTTTTGAAAGCCCAAAGCAAGACCATGACCTATGCAAAGAGAAGAGAACTGAGTCTGAATCAGTGTACTCGAATAGGCCCGAGGGTCCTAGTTAACTCCAGATGGGACGGAAACCCTGACATATAACCTATAAAAACAAAGACTGTAGCGTATTATTAAAACTATTTAAGGTCTTAGCCCATCTCACCCATAATTCTATATACACGAGAGGCTAAGGGCAGAAGAATGGAAAGTTCCATTCCAGCCTGGACGAGTTAGCGAGAGCTTGTCCGACACTTTAAAAGGGGGAAAAGGGTTTGTAAGGTGCCTCCGCTGCTAAGGCGGTTGCTACTGAGCCTGGCAGACTGAGTTTGATCCCCAGATCAAACATGGTCGGAAGAGAGAACCGAGTCCTGAAAGTTGTCCTATGACCTGTGTGCGCTCATGCACACGCACGCCCACATGCACCCTTTAAAAAAAATAAAATAAGGGAGCTGGAGAGATGGCTCAGTGGCTAAGAGCATCTCCAGCTCTTACAGAGGACCCAAGTTTGATTTCCAGCACCCATATTAAATGACTCACAATCACCTGTAATTCCATCTCCAGGGTATCTGACACTTCCAGCTTTCTGGGACTCCTGCCCTTATGTGTACATACCCAAACACAGACATACAATTAAAAATAAAAATTTAAGAAAAATTTAAGAACAATACAAGCTGATTGATTTGGTTGCTTTTTTCTAAACAAACAAACGAAGCAAAAACAAACAAACAAACAAATAAAACTGACTTGAGCTTCAAACTTCCTGGTTCTAAAAGAAAATAATCTAATGTTTTATGTGAAAATGGTAGGTTTGGTGTTAGTATTTAGCTAAATATTTACAGCGGATGCTTAATGATATGAAGGTGTTGGGAGTGCCCAATAAACACTCATTCCCCAAGTCTCACTGTCCTTAATTATAATGGGGCTGAATTTCATGTGTACAGGCCTATTAGGCCACAAGGTCACTTGGTAAAAGTGCCAAATAAAAATAAGAGGCACAGACTTATCACCCCAGGGTACCCAGGAAAACTCCATTGGGCATTTCACAGTAGGAATAAAATCTAATTTTTAAAATTAAATTAACTAAATTTTTAAATTAAAAATTAATTTTTAAAATTAAAAACTAGATTCTTAACACTTTATTGTTTTTAATTGAGCTATACATTTCCCCCCCACACCTCTTCCTCCCTCCCCTCCCCTACTGCCCCCCCCATGCTCCCAATTTACTCAAGAGATATTGTCTTTTTCTCCTTCTTAGGTAGACCCATGTATTTCTCTCTTAGAATAAGATTCCAGAGAGCACTAGCTAATTATTACAAATCGGCAAGCATTAAGTTTTGCTCCGTCTCCCATTTGACGTCACAATCATTTCTTCCATGCCCATTTTCTCTTAGAAAGGTTATTTCTTCTTATCTGTAAAACAGAAGTTTTTAGGTTCCAGGAAGGTAAAACAAGCAGAAGGTCTATGTATGACTTTAAAACATTTTTACACATATTTGTGTGTGTGGTGTGTGTGTGTGTGCGCACACACACATCTATGAGCATGGGTACCCCAGTAGAAGTCAGAGAGCAGCCTGCTGGGATTGGCTCTTTCCTTCCACTCTGTGGTCCTGGGATCCGCATCAGGTCACCAAGCACCCTTACCTCCGAAGCCATCTTTAAAATGGAAGAGCACATTCCTCAGGCTCACTGTGAACAAACCGCCTGGATTGAGAATTTGGTATCAATATAATTGCCTTTCATTCTTAAGACCGTTGCTTGCCCCTTTCTCCACTTTCTTTACTGCTTTAACTTCATTCAAAACACTTTACTGTTGTAAAAAAAAAAAAAGTATGTGAAGAAAGACAAATCTAACAATGTCCTCTGCTTAACAACAGTATTGTATTCTAGATACTCTTTGCAAAGATTCATTGGATCTAGTATTCTTTTGTTGTTTTGAGACTGTAGCCCTGGGCCTCTTGCTGCTTCTAAACCTGAAAACCTGATCCCTCCAGTTTCCACCTCCGGATTGGCTGGGATTAATACCCTTATTAGGTGGTACTGGAGACTTAAACCTAGGGCCCCTGATATGTTAGGCTGCCTCTCTACCCATGGACCTAAATCTCTAGCCAAAGATTCATTCAGAAAGTAGGACGGAATGCATGTTTCAATTGAAATAACTAGATATTGGTGGAATGTTTTAGTTTGGAAAGAGAAAGCAACCTAATACAATTTTGATTGCTTTGTCCTTGCTTCTCTCCCTTTGATTCTGTGCACTGGGAAGGGCTTCAGTAGGGTGAATTCAACAGATTATCCGTAGATCCTTAGCACACTGGGTCATCAGATGCTTCCATTGTGAGCAGCTCCTCTGGTCCCAAGTGTGTTCTCTAGGATTTGACAGTGCATATGTCCTGGGTACCAAAGAAGAAAAGAAGGGAGAACTGGGAAGCACGAAGGAGAAGGTAGAAGAAGCAGAAGATATCAAAGGTGTCCACGGTGGTGCTGGAATATAGTCAAGGGTACAGCGCCACCTGCAGGTGCCTTGGACATCTTCGGGTATCAAGTCTTCAAATTTTCAAACAATAAAGTCTCTCTCTAGCTTGCTCCCTCCCGTCTTCATCCGAGGGTGGCTTTGTCTCTGCAGTCTGAGATAGGGAGTCCTTTCTCCTTACATTGCTGGAAAGAAGTGGAGTAAGGTTCTCCATTTGGCATAGAATCATTCCTGGGACCTGGGACCTGTCTGTCCCTTTGGCGAGTTATTCCTAATGCTTGGCCTCCTCCTCCTCAGGGAACCGGTGGATGAGGTGCTGCAGATACCCCCGTCCCTGCTGACATGTGGTGGCTGCCAGCAGAACATAGGGGACCGCTACTTCCTGAAAGCCATCGACCAATACTGGCATGAGGATTGCCTCAGCTGTGACCTCTGTGGGTGCCGACTGGGAGAAGTGGGGCGACGCCTCTACTACAAGCTGGGACGGAAGTTGTGCAGAAGAGACTACCTCAGGTACCTTCCTCACATTCCCCGGCTGGGTTTGACCACGTGGCCTCTAGCTCTTGTTCTGACTCTGAGGAGCCTGCCCAAGGGTGCTAGGCCGTGGAGGCTGAATGGCTGCCTCTACAGAGAGGCCATACGCTCTTCCTCCGCGGTAGCCGTGTCTGCAGAGGCACATCCCTGTTAATGAGCTCCAAGCACTGAGTCTCCCAGCAAAAAGATGGCATTCAGTGGCTGTAAAGGGTGACAGCCCTGGATTCAGGAGGCCGATCACAGCCTCATTGCTTCCTAGAGCTATGGTCTGGGCAATGGGGGTAGTAATTGTAGTTACTTCTAAGGCTAAAATAATACAAATGAAGTTCTTGACTTGGTACATGTCTTAAGAAATAGATGTTAGGGCATTTTATAGTTGACATATGTCTCAGTGGTATCATAAATTATTTTCCAATATAATGGACGAGGAGTTGGGAGCTCGGAAGGATGAAATCGGAAGTGTACAAGGCCAAGTGAGACAGGAACTTTCCCCTGATCTGGGGCGCCCTCTTCTCGATGTGAGTGTCTGGCACCCCCTGAGTGTCTGCCTGGCACGTTCTGGCGTCTCTAGCTTCTGTGTGAGCTGCACTGGAGGTCACTGTGCCCTGTTCTGTCAGATCCAGTCAGGTGTTCGATTGTCCGTTCTTTGTCATCGTACACTGGTAGGAGAAAGCTCCTCCTGTGTGCCCCCTGAGCTTGCAGCTCCAGTATATTAGGACCATCCGGTCTCTGGAAGAAGCTCTTTCAGACTCCAGCGCCCATGACTGCTGGGGTGGCTCTTCCTCCTGTATTTGTTCTCAGGGCTTTGCATATGTGAAATAAAAAGCAAACTACTGGTAACCCCACAGCCAAAAGAAGCTTGTCTGGTCCTCTGAAGACTGAATCAGCTTGTACATGCCTATATCCTCCGACAAAAATCACTGCAAATTTAGTGGGTTTTGGGGGAAAAAGAGAGAGAGAAAATAGAGCAAGCAGATCTGACTATACTTTTGTTGAATTTCTTTCTTTTTTTTGAGTTATAGGCAAATAGAATGGAGATAAATACAGACCTGGTTTGACTCACTCCAGGTCTGCCAAATCAGTCAGAAAGCAGCTGGGTAAATGATTCCTACTGGGCCCTTGCCTCCATCCCTGTCGAATCATTTGAATCTTATTAAATGAAGTCAGATACAGTAAGGTCAAAGGAGCTGATTCCTCCCTATCTCCACGGTTTTATAGAACATTCAGGAAGAAAGACAGTGCTGCCTGGGCTTGTTAATCTTTTCCATTTTCAAAAAGGAGAGGAAAAAAATAGTCTGGGAGAGCCCAGTGTTAATTAACTTGTGTCTTGGTGACACGAAATAATTCTTCTCCCTGCTACATTCCCAGGCAACATGTTAATTAACTCTGCATTAGTGCAGGCGTTCCCAGCCACCCTTTAATATTTATATTATTGTTATTAAAATGGGCAGCAGAAAGCTTAAGGCACTGACATCTCTTGACAAAGGAGGGATTTTCTTCTCCTCCTTCTCCTGCTCTTCCTCCTCCTCTCCCCTCCTCCTCTTCCTTCTCCTCATTCCTCCTCTTTTCTCCTCTGTCTTCTTGGATGGTTCATTCATTATGGGTTTGTTTACTTCAGTTCTTTGGGCTGATTTTAATGGGGTAAGTTCAGAATGACTCAGTGGGTCCTCCAATGAGGTCCAGTCCCTCTCCCTAGAACAGCTTCTCCACATGATGGTCTTGAGTGGTCAACTATCTTCTAGTCCTTTCGAGATATTCAACCTCAAATATCCAGGCCCTCAGCTCAAGCCTGCTACTGTTACATTACGTTGTCAGCAGCTGTTTATGTGGGTGCTAAGCCCAGATTCTCATGGATCCAGTTTTCATGAACCCTCTAGCCTATGGTTGTGTCTCAACAACTGGCTATGCATCTTGTCAGCACCTGTTGTAGCCAGAAATATGCAGCCTCACCAGACTGTGCAATGACCCTGGTGCCAATACTTCAGGAGAGTCCCAAATCCCTGCAGCTTAGAGGGAACCCAAAGCCACTTGGAGATGCGAATTATGATTCAGGAGTCACCAGATAGAGGGACAAAGGTCCTTCTGAGATTGTGCCACTCAACTCCCTTCCCTCTTCCCGACTTCCCCTGAGGACATCATAAACTATTTGAATATAAATCCTTGCCTGTGGTCTGCTTCTGGGTCATCCAGCCAAGACATGGATCCTCTGAGCCAGAGATTAATGCACACGTTAAACGTCGAGTCCTGGCTTATTTTCCTTACTGTTATCATCTTGGAGTTCCTGATTTGGAATGGACTGCCAGGGTCTTTTCCTCTGGTCCTGGGCTTGCAGTGTAAGACATGGAAGCCTAGAGAGGACATGTCATTTGCTCAGGTCACCTAGCTAGTTAGAGGTGACTCTGGGAACAGAGCTTATCTCCCAAACATTAGTCCTTTGTCCTTTCATTAACTGCCTGATGTGGTGTAATTTGCTTCCTGACTTCCCTCTAATAACCCCCCCCCTTTCCTTAAGGATCTCACACCTCAGGCAGTCAGATTCATTTGGTACATACTGTTTTCTCTGTTGTGTGTCTCTGCTCAGCTCCAAACCTGAACTGTCAGCGCACCAGAATACACTCTGTGCTCTGTGCCCTCCAGGGCAGCCGTTACCCACAGCTCCACCAACTGCTCCGGTGGAATAGAGTGTTCACCATGGATGAGTCTGCTTTCAGCCCAGAAAGTGGGATCCCAAAGAGAGATGAGCTCCAACCTCTCTACTCACAGACCCCGCTTATAGGCCGTTCGTTCTGGCTAAATGTCGCAAACTTTGGTAACTGCCTCTACCTCCTCATCATCTCTTAGGATGCACCAGTCGATTCTCCCATTTTTCTACGTGGGTAGGAACTGCTAATGAGAACAAGCGTTTACCAGAAATGGTCATAAAGGCTCTACATGGACGCTCCAAGCTCACATGCTATGTTACAAGCCCCATATGAAAATGACCCCACAGCAGAAGTTGGTGTTCCCATAGCCAGTGTTGGCTCAGTCATTGATCTCTGATGCTGTGGCATGCCCTAGGTGTGGCACTAATGTCTGGCACTCATGTCTGGGCACTGTAGCTACTAGGATAACTTGGAGAAATCCAAGGCCACACTACCTTCTGGTCCTTATCCTGATGCTCTTCTTTTCTTCCAGGCAGGCTCATCTTTAAACTTTGGCCATCGATAGATTCATTAGCACACAGACGGCTGAGCCTGCCTTCTCTTAGGGATCTCTATCGGGTAGAGGGGTAGTTGAGAATTTGTGTTTCTAACAAGCTCCTGGGTGCTGCTGACGCTGCTAGTCCCTTGACCAACTCACCGAGAACTATTGCACTGGCTCCTGCTAAGTTGCCTCTCCCACCCCAACACTAAATGTTGCTTAATTAGGTGGCTGATGGACTGAGGCTAAAGAGAAACTTGATTTAGGTGTGAGAAAAGTGATCTCCCCAGAGTCATGTTGAGGGGACAGGGGGAGCATGAATGAAGATCTCCTGTGCATCCTGGAGAGATGCTGTTTGTTCTCTGGGTCTCTGAGGCATGATTAGTGGGATTGCGTGTCTCCCAGGATGCTCCTGTCTCTTGGCAGCTGGGGCTCCAACGAGTAGTCATGCGGACCCGGACTTTGCACCTTGAGACCAGGGAGATGACTCAAGGCACACTTCCCAGGGGGTGAAATTAGTGTCTGTTGATGTCAGTAGAATTCGGAGCCTCATAATGATGCCCATTTTATTGCATTCCTGGTGAGTTGCCCCTCCAAGGCTGGCTCCAGCTCCTTTTCCATGTTAAGTTCCTCTGGGGAGGGGACATGTACTGCGTACTGCGTGCCTGACTTCTTCTCACAAGTCACTCCAGCTGCATCTCTTCCAGAGCTGGTCCACGCGGCCTGGAGGCATGGATCAAAGCAGGAAGGACTCAGGGAAGAGAGGAATAACAGAAAATAAAATGCCACAGTGTTACCCAGCCTATCCTCTCTGCTTTCAAGGAAAGATTCTTGGGCTGTTATCCGGGTGCGGCTCTTTTGTTGGTTGGTTTTTTTTATTTTGAGACAGCATATCATTGTGTGACCTAGTCCTGCTTGGACCTTGCCATTCTCCTGCCTCAGTTTCCTGAGGACTGGGATTTCAGATGTGTACCTTTGTATCTGATGAGGTCCAGCTTTTCCTAGCTCTGTGGAATCCTGATGGATAGAGCCAGTCACCAATCCCTCCTGTCTGTTATCTCTGCCCCATCTCTTTGCTTTCCCCCCCCTCTTTTGGCCCCAGGCTTTTTGGCCAAGACGGTCTCTGCGCTTCCTGCGACAAGCGGATCCGTGCCTATGAGATGACCATGCGCGTGAAAGACAAAGTGTATCACCTGGAGTGCTTCAAGTGTGCTGCCTGCCAGAAGCACTTCTGTGTCGGCGACAGATACCTCCTCATCAACTCCGACATCGTGTGTGAACAGGACATCTACGAGTGGACTAAGATCAATGGGATGATCTAGGCAGAGTCCCCGGCCCCTTCGGGGAGGTGTTCGGTGAGAACACTGTCTCTGTTGGGTTCATTTTTAGGCACTTTGGGAACCTGAGGGTGGGCGAGGCATGACTTAGGAGACTGAACTCTCCTTGGGCACCAAGACATAGCATCCACATGACATAATGCAAAGGCCACGGCTTCAGTGACAAAAGGACCAGCCCTTAGAGAGAATTTGTGGTCACAGGCTATCCGTAGTAACTGACAAGATTAGTGGAGGAAACGTTTGGGGACCAGCATGCACTGCGCCATCATGATAGAATTGCCCAGCTAGGCAGTGTTGGGTAAAGACTATGTGTGACCATGGCATTTATGGAGTAGAGATGTGCAATTAATTTCTTCCTGGCTTTGGAACTACGCTATTCTAGCCGCCATCCTTCACACGAGAGAAGGAAAGAGAGAAGAGCAGGCATTCTTTTTTCCTGGTCACCTTCCCATGGCCTAAAGCTTTGGAGCCAGGGGAAACTGCATGGAAATACATTTCTGTTGGGAATGAAACACACACCTTTCAATCAAACAAATAGTTAAAGCAAAGCTGATGAATCACTGTTTTTAGACACCTTCCTTTTGAGGTGAGGCACCCCCACAGATTGTTTCTATACAAATGTAAATCTTAAGAAGTCAAAGTTGTCAACTATTTTATTATCTTAGATTATATCAAAGTATTTGTTGTGTGTCATTAAAAAAAAACTTGATTCTGAAGACTTAATAAAAATGACAAGCTAAAATACCATGCTGTTGGTGTGAAATGACTTACCATTCAGGCTAGCAGGGAAATGGTTTGCTGTTTTCGCTCAGAAAGGTGAAGTAAATAAGCAATTTATTTCTAGGCCAAATAAAAGTTTCCATTTATTGCAAGGGTTTATATGAGGTTTATATAGGTTTCTGTATTACGGGCAATTATATAACAGGCCATCACATAGCTCAGAGGGATGTAGAATAATTAAGTTGTTATTGTAAAATGTGCATTTCACTTTGGCATTGTGTGGAGTGAGTGGAAGGCAGCAAGATCATTGCCTTTGGGAAACTTGTAACCTAGAAAGCACACAAATACATAAAATAGATTCCCTTTGGGAGAGAAGGTAATTACCTGGCTTGAAATGTGGCGAAGATGCTGAGCTTGACATTTCTATTTTCCAAGATGTGTGTCTCAGGGTGTTTTATGACAAGTGGTTACGAGGACCTTACTTTGAGGATTTAAAGCTGGCACCTTTTCTTGTGTGCTCGCCTGCACCCCCGTCTGGGGCGTGATCTGACTTCAAGCGCCCCCTGCTGGTCATTCTTCAACCTACTAGTCCGAGGGCGTCCCAGGGAATGGCAGATCTCCGTGAAGGATATACTTTCCATTATTTCATAAAACATTGGCAAACACCAGTGGGTCTAGATGTGTTTAATTATCAAGATGTCAGAAACATGCAGCTAAAGCTGTGTTTAATTAACTTGAAAGTGCTCTAACGTCTTTGTCGTTGAAGCTTTCTCCTTTAATTCTAGAGGAGGAATCATAAAACAATGTCTCTCTTGGCCCGTAAAATGCTCAAAGTGCTTGGGAGATCTGACTGCTTACGGTGGCCTATTTAAAACGAATCCAATTATATCGAACCGCGGCCTAGGTGGCCATCAGGTGCTCCTGAGGAGGGGATGATTGCTCTAACTCTGCAGTTCTCAGACTGCAGTCCCTGAGCCCGGCTCTCTGCCTCTCCAGGAACTTGCTGGAAATTGACTCAGGGATCCTATCCTCCAAACGCACAGAAGCAGAAACTCAGCGAGGGGCTGCCTGTCCTGGAGCAGGCTTTGGGGGCGATTCTGACTCACGCTCGGAAGTCTAAAAATGGCTACCTTATCTCCCAGCTAGCGGACATGCATTCTAAATTGTTAGTATTCAGTATATGACATGAAGGTTAACCGCTGAGGAGCTCACACGCGTAGACGAACACTGCTTCCCCAAGGACCCGAAACTGCAAAGTTCATTGTTCTTGCTCAGCTAACAGCTCTCTTGCTCCTCATCTAACACCAACCACAAATCAATTTTTTTTTAAAAAAAAATCTGTGTTGTTCTGTTTAATTTTATCTAGCTGAATATGGCAGTGAGGTTACAAGAATGAAGGATACATATCTAAAGACTAAAATAAAAGACATTCCCACTTTACTTGAAGTGCTAAACACCGTATTAGCGCATGTGAAGTAAGATACATCAAGGGGAGCCGAGTCTTTATTTCTGACTGACTGAGAAGCCTTTTATATTTAATCCCATTCTTAGACTGCAAGCTGCTGTTGATATGTGATTTGCATGTCTTCCTTCCACATAACAGATACATTACCAAGGTGAGTTCCCTGTACCCTGACAAGTACTCCCATTGGAGTCTGTACAGATATTTTTAATCTATATAATACCTGTTTCGTTAAACTTCTTGCAATTATGTGTGTGCTCGAATATGGTTTTTATGATATTCAAAATTGAGCCAAAGCCTTTGCACATGCTAGGCAAGTGTTATTGCGGTCAACCTAACATTTTTAGCACACCAACGATGATAGTAACAGTATTATTGCTACGTGATGGTTTTCCTTTGATTTTGTTTGAGACAGAGCCTCCTTGATGCCCAGAATAAGCTGGAGCTCACTATGTAACACAGGCAGGTTCTGAACTTGCAATGCTTCTCGTTCTTACTCCTGGGTGCTAGTATTGTAGATCTTCCACCACACCTGGCTGTCCCCGTCATAAATAAAAATAAGACGATCATTGGTTAATGTAAATTTTATTGCTAACTCCTGACTATAGTACAATTCATACTAAGATTTAAGAGGTAATCAGCCTAGACCACCACCATCCCAAAAAAGTGATCCCTTTCTTTTCTTTTCTTTTTTAAACTCTCTCTCTCTCTCTCTCTCTCTCTCTCTCTCTCTCTCTCTCTCTGTGTGTGTGTGTGTGTGTGTGTGTGTGTGTGTGTGTGTGTGACTCTGGTGCCATGGTGTGAATGGAGAGGCAAGAGGACAACTCTGGGGAGTCAGTTTTCTCCTGCCCCTTCTAGGATCTGGAAAGTGAACTCAGTCATTGGACCTGTTGCATGGACCCCTGCACACTGAGCCACCTTGCCAGCCCTTGTGGGTACACAAGCAGAGTGTTTGCAGAAAACCACCGAAGGGATCCCAATACCTAACCCCTAGCTGACTGCAGAGGAAGAGAGGCCTGCTCCCAGAGCCTCCCCTGGTGGTGGTCCTGGACTGAAGGTGTCACTGTTTTGCCCAGACCCGGCAGATGGGAGCTGGGCAGCATACCTTCCCCAGCCCACACTTGGATCCATCAGTTCCCCGGAAGTGTTTTTCCTCTTCTCAGGAGTTTCCTCTGCTGGGAAGTGGCTTCTTCCATTGCTCCAGGAACTCAACCTGTGCTGCCCAGGAAAGCCTGGGTTCCCAGCGAGCTGAACTGAAACACCAGCTGGGGGGTTCAGCAGCCAAAGTCCTGGGTTTTAATCACAATGACAGATCTGCTTAAGAGTCCTCCGCGCCGCACTTCCTGGGCCAGATGAATTCACTGAGCCCTTCCAGGAAGCTTCTGCTTATTGTTACCTGTGTGTACTGTGGAGGACCCTGAAGCCCAGGCAGCCAAAGCCACTTGTCTGAGGTCCTCCAGGCCAGCTGGGGCAGGCTTCCTTCTCTGGGCCTCTCAACCCAGTGCCCTGATGCCAATTTAGGCTCATCTCACTACACAGAGAGATGCACCAGGGCGTAAATGAGAGCTAACCAGAGAGAGGTCACTTTCTCTTTGGTTTAGTTTTTCAAGACAGGGCTTCTCTGTGTAGCCCTGGCTGTCCTAGAACTAGCTCTGTAGACCAGGCTGGCCCAGAACTCACAGAGATCTGCCTGTCACTGCCTCCTGAGTGCTGGAATTAAAGGTGTGCACCATTTCCACCCAGTCAAAGAGTGGCCCCTTTTGTTTTATGATCTTATGAAGGAAAATTCGTGACATCCCTCCACATACATAACCTGAGCCAGCAACAGGACTTTGTCTATATAGGAACCCTACACACATACACATAGACACTCCACACCACACCACACACAAAGAGCAATGGGGCGTTGTTTATATGGTAAACCTACATATACACACATACACACACACATGCATGCTACACACACACACACACACACACACACACACACAGCAATGGAACTTTGTTTATATAATAACCTTATGAATGTGCGTATGTGCGCGCGTACACAGACACACACACACACACACATAGCAGTGGGGTTTTGTTCATTTTGTAACCCTACACACATACACCCTGAGACAACAACAGGACTGAATTTATATTACAAATAAATTTTTTTTTCTTAAAACAAAAAGCTTCTTATCACCCAACAGAGAAAATCAATACCTTTTCCCCCAGTTACAGGATGCTTAAGCTTAGTCTATTAGGAAATGTCAACAAAACACAAAAATGAAAAATAAGCACATAGCAAAGATATGTGAAAAATACAAAGGCAACAGATTAGCTCAGGAGTGGTTGTCTAGGAGGAGGAAAAGGTAGCGTTTATCCCTGGGAAGAGCGTATGTGGGAAGTTGAGTACCTGGCAGGATGCATCTCTAAGTGAGTTCTGAGTGCATGAGTGGAGGCTTGGGAATTGGCTAGCCGGTGGCTGGGGAGCATGCGGTGAGGTTTAGATTCCAGTTCTGGGCCTTGACTAGCAAGTTAGCCCAGTGGTGAAACAGGACCTTTAATTCTGCTTTCTCACAGGACGCTACTGTGCCAGGCACAAGATCTGGGCCCAAGTGAACTTCATAGACCCAGCCCCGCCCCGTGCTGCATGCTGATGTTGATGCTGCTGATGTGGTGTTTGGCTTCTCTAAGCTTCCACGTCACTCCCTCCTCGCACATCTCTTGTTTTATTTCCCACCTTGCTCCCTACTTTAAGACGTCATTTGGGAGGAAGGCCCTGTCTTCAGCCAGCAGAGCACAGGGTTGAGAGCCCTGGGGCTAAAGCCTGCTTCTGGCTGTCCCTGGCTGTCTGACCTCAGGCAAGCTGCTTCACCGGTCTGGGTGTCAGTTTCCTCAGCAAGTGACAATAAGTAGGAATGGCCGCAGGGGGCTCTTCTAGGTGTTTGAGTTCATATTCACAAAGCTCCTGGCTCTTCACTGACACCACGAAGGCCAGAGTTACACATGTAGACAAGGACTAAATGTTTATGGGGTACATAGGGGAGGAGAGCAGCTGGCGAGTCAGTTTATAGGGGAGACAGACTTTTCTGTAATTAAATAATTGCATTTATTTATGTACTGTGTGTGTGTGTGTGCATAAATGTGTGTATGTACCCATGTGTGCCACACTGTGCACTTGTAAATCAGAGCTCAACTTGTTTGAGTTGGTTCTCTCATTCCACCATGTAGGTTCTGGGGCAGGCTGGGCAATTAGTGCCTTTACCCACCGAGCCATCTCGATATTCTGTTTTCAAAAGGGATGTGGAGAGTCCTGTTCTTTGAAAATGTTAATGCTGTGAGAGACAGTGAACATCTGTGAAACACTTCAGACTAATGAAGGCTCAGGGCAAGTAAATAGAATATGTGATTCTACTGTGAGTCCAGTAGTCTTTGGTAAACAATGCTACAAACAAACAAACAAACGCCATCATTAGGGACTGGGCAATAGCTCTGTTAATGAAGCACTTGGGCACAGTGCTGAGACCTTGGATCTTAAGAATCTGTGTAAAAGCTGGGAGGGTATGATGATTTC